GACTGGAAGGGGAGGGAAAGTGTCCGGACTGGAAGGGGGGGAAAGTGTCGGGACTGGAAGGGGAGGGAAAGTGTCCGGACTGGAAGGGGGTGAAAGTGTCAGGACTGGAAGGGGGTGAAAGTGTCCGGACTGGAAGGGGGGGAAAGTGTCCGGACTGGAAGGGGGGGAAAGTGTCCGGCCTGGAAGGGGGGGAAAGTGTCCGGACTGGAAGAGGGTGTGAAAGTGTCCGGACTGGAAGGGGGCAAAAGTGTCCGGACTGGAAGGGGGGGGGGAGTGTCCGGACTGGAAAGGGGGGGGAAGTGTCCGGACTGGAAGGGGGGGGGGGGAAATGTCCGGACTGGAAGGGGGGGGGGGGAAGTGTCCGGACTGGGCGGTGGGGGGGGGGGGGGGGGGGTGGGGGGGGGGGGAAGTGTCCGGACTGGAAGGGGGTGAAAGTGTCCGGACTGGAAGGGGGTGAAAGTGTCCGGACTGGAAGGGGGGTGAAAGTGTCCAGACTGGAAGGGGGGGGGGGAAGTGTCCGGACTGGAAGGGGGTGAAAGTGTCCGGACTGGAAGAAGGTGAAAGTGTCCGGACTGGAAGGGGGTGAAAGTGTCCAGACTGGAAGGGGGGGAAAGTGGGGGGACTGGAAGGGGGGGGGGAGTGTCCAGACTGGAAGGGGGTGAAAGTGTCCAGACTGGAAGGGGGGGGGGGGGAAGTGTCCGGACGGGAAGGGGGGTGAATGGGAATGGAACCAGGGTACTATTTTTATGGAGCAGCAAAGTATAGGCTTTTACTGATGACTCATAAGACCTCCATAGTTACATAGTTAGTCTGGCTAAAAAAAAGAGACAAAAGTCCATCCAGTTCAACCATAAACAAAAAAAAAAAAAAGTTATAATCCTACACCCACAGTTGATCCAGAGGAAGGCAAAAAAACCCAGCATAGTACGATCCAATTTGCTCCTGCAGGGGAAAAAATTCCTTCCTGATCCCCCGAGAGGCAATCGGATATTCCCTGCATCAACTTTCCCTATAAATGTTCTATATCCAGTTATATTCTGTGTATCCAGGAAATCTCTACTAAGATCCAAGAAACTGGATATAAAATCCTAACCAGGAGGTAGAGGGTTCCCAAAACTTCCACCAACTGTTTCCCCAATGCCCCTCGTTTTGTTGGAGATGTTTAAAGGAGGAGGGCTCTATTGCTCCATATTTTTTGGTCCCGTGAAGGCCTTAAACATTTCTGGACACAAGTGAAGACATTGGATTCCGAGGTTCACTAACACCCAGATGCTGGAAGATGCGGCCGCCTTCCTGTTGCATTTGAACCCTGTGTCCTTGAAACGTTATAAACGCTCCCTCCTCCTCCATCTGTTAAACGCAGCAAAGGCATGCATCCCGCTTCACTGGGAACCAACCACACCACCCTCCATCAGGACTTGGTTCTCCAAGGTCAACGAAGTCCAACTGATGGAGGAGCTTATGGCTGCAGTACACCATAGGGAGGAACGGGTCCAAAAGACGTGGTTTTACTGGATGGAATTTACCTCCATGACATATCCTGGGCTCCCACGGGTAAAGCACTTGAGTCCCTTATGACTTTAGTAGGCCAGTCTTTGGGCAGCGGACTCATCTCCCCCCTTTTCCCCTTCCTGTTCTTCTTCAGGCTTCCTGCCCCCCCCCCCCTTTTTTTTTCTCTTTTCCCTCTCTCATCTTCCATGAGTATGGCTCTCTTTCTCTCTTTTCTTTCCTTCTGCCTGTATTTTAGTTTTTTCTGTATTAAGAGTTAATGTTGAACAGGATTTATATAAGTCACAGGCCTTTGGGCGAAGGGAGCTAAATCATCAATGCCCCATTGGCCCTTTCCCCGCTGGTCTATCTGTGGTGCATTTATTTTGATACATGTATCTTGCACCTGACCCAGGCTACTTGTTGTGATGGGTGCCCGCGGGCCCCGATAATCCCTGTATGACATACAAAGTTAATAAATAAAGAATTTAAAAAAAAAAAAAACAGCATACAAGAGATGAGCGGCACTGAGATATAGCAAAGGATGACATGATTTTATTTCTAAAAAACAATTGATCATAGTGCACACAGCAAAATAAACGTCAGGGTTGGCCTGGAGAGCATTAGGGTCAACCCGGAGAACGTCAGGGTTGGCCCGGAGAACGTCAGGGTTGGCCCGGAGAACGTCAGGGTTGGCCCGGAGAAAGTCAGGGTTGGCCCAAAGAAAGCCAGGGTTGGCCCAGAGAGTGTCAGGGTTGGCACCGAGAACGTCAGGGTTGACACTGAGAACATCAAGGTTAGCTTGGAGAACGTCAGGCTTGGCCCAGAGAGCGTCAGGGTTGGCCCGGAGAACGTCAGGGTTGGCCCGGAGAAAGTCAGGGTTGGCCCGGAGAGCGTCAGGGTTGGCCCGAGAAAGTCAGGGTTGGCCCGGAGAGCGTCAGGGTTGGCCCGGAGAACATCAGGGTTGGCCTGGAGATTGTCAGGGTTAGAATGCAGAACGTCAGGGTTGGCCCGGAGAACGTCAGGGTTGGCCCGGAGAACGTCAGGGTTGGCCCGGAGAAAGTCAGGGTTGGCCCAAAGAAAGCCAGGGTTGGCCCAGAGAGTGTCAGGGTTGGCACCGAGAACGTCAGGGTTGACACTGAGAACATCAAGGTTAGCTTGGAGAACGTCAGGCTTGGCCCAGAGAGCGTCAGGGTTGGCCCGGAGAACGTCAGGGTTGGCCCGGAGAAAGTCAGGGTTGGCCCGGAGAGCGTCAGGGTTGGCCCGGAGAACATCAGGGTTGGCCTGGAGATTGTCAGAGTTAGAATGCAGAACGTCAGGGTTGGCCCGGAGATCGTCAGGGTTGGCCCGGAGAACGTCAGGGTTGGCCCGGAGAACGTCAGGGTTGGCCCAAAGAAAGCCAGGGTTGGCCCGGAGAAAGCCAGGGTTGGCCCGGAGAGCGTCAGGGTTGGCACTGAGAACATCAAGGTTAGCTTGGAGAACGTCAGGCTTGGCCCAGAGAGCGTCAGGGTTGGCCCGGAGAGAGCGTCAGGGTTGGCCCGGAGAGCGTCAGGGGTTGGCCCGGAGAGCGTCAGGGTTGGCCCGGAGAAAGTCAGGGTTGGCCCGGAGAGCGTCAGGGTTGGCCCGGAGAAAGTCAGGGTTGGCCCGGAGAGCGTCAGGGTTGGCCCGGAGAACATCAGGGTTGGCCTGGAGATTGTCAGGGTTAGAATGCAGAACGCCAGGGTTGGCCCGGAGATCGTCAGGGTTGGCCCGCAGTGCACCATACTCGAAACAGGGATATGGCTTCTCCCAATGTGAACTTTGCTGTCTTATGAGTCAATTGGTGGTCGGGGGAGGGGGGGGGGGGGGGGATTTCCCACATCGACAATTGATCATAGTGCACACAGCAAAATAAACGTCAGGGATGGCTTGGAGAACATCAGGGTTGACCCCGAGAACGTCAGGGTTGGAATGCAGAACGTCATGGTTGGCCGGGAGGGAGAACATCAGGGTTGGCCCGGAGAACGTCAAGGTTGGCCCGGAGAACGTCAAGGTTGGCCCGGAGATCATCAGGGTTGGCTTGGAGAACGTCAAGGTTGGCCCCGAGAACGTCAGGGTTGGCCGGAGAAACGTCAGGGTTGGCCCCGAGAACGTCAGGGTTGGCCCGGAGAACGTCAAGGTTGGCCCCGAGAACGTCAGGGTTGGCCCGGAGAACGTCAGGGTTGGTCCGGAGAACGTCAGGGTTGGTCCAGAGAACGTCAGGGTTGGCCCGGAGAACGTCAGGGTTGGCCCGGAGAACGTCAGGGTTGGCCCCGAGAACGTCAGGGTTTGTCCGGAGAACGCCAGGGTTGGCCCGGAGAACGTCAGGGTTGGCCCGGAGAACGTCAAGGTTGGCCCGAACGAGAACGTCAGGGTTGGCCCGGAGAGCGTCAGGGTTGGCCCGGAGAACGTCAGGGTTGGCCCGAGAACGTCAGGGTTGGCCCGGAGAACGTCAGGGTTGGCCCGGAGAACGTCAGGGTTGGCCCGGAGAACGTCAGGGTTGGCCCGGAGAGAACGTCAGGGTTGGCCCGGAGAACGTCAGGGTTGGTCCGGGAGAACGTCAGGGTTGGTCCCGGAGAACGTCAGGGTTGGTCCGGAGAACGTCAGGGTTGGCCCGGAGAACGTCAGGGTTGGCCCGGAGAACGTCAGGGTTGGCCCGGAGAACGTCAGGGATGGCCCGGAGAACGTCAGGGTTTGTCCCGGAGAACGCCAGGGTTGGCCCGGAGAACGTCAGGGTTGGCCCGGAGAACGTCAAGGTTGGCCCGGAGAATGTCAAGGTTGGCCCGGAGAACGTCAGGGTTGGCCTGGAGAGCGTCAAGGTTGGAATGCCCAGCAGAACATCATGGTTGGCCAGGAGAACGTCAGGGTTGGCCCGGAGAACGTCAGGGTTGGCCTGGAGAATGTCAGGGTTGGAATGCAGACGTCAGGGTTGGACAGGAGAACATCAGGGTTGGCCCGGAGAACGTCAGGGTTGGCCCGCAGAACGTCAGGGTTGGCCCGGAGAACGTCAGGGTTGGCCCGGAGAACATCAGAGTTGGCCCGGAGAACGTCAAGGTTGGCCCGGAGAACGTCAAGGTTGGCCCGGAGAACGTCAAGGTTGGCCCGGAGAAACGTCAAGGTTGGCCCGGAGAGCGTCAGGGTTAGAATGCAGAACGTCAAGGTTGGCCCAGAGAAAGTTCAGGGTTGGCCCGGAGAACATCAGGGTTGGCCCGGAGAACATCAGGGTTGGCCCGGAGAACGTCAAGGTTGGCCCAGAGAAAGTCGGGGTTGGCCCGGAGAACGTCAGGGTTGGCCTTGAGAACGTCAGAGTTGGCCCGGAGAAACGTCAGGTTTGGCCTGCAGTGCACAATACTCAAAACAGGGATATGGCTTCTCCCAATGTGAACTTTGCAGTCTTATGAGTCAATTGGTGGTCGGGGGAGTGGGGGGGGGGGGGGATTTCCCACATCCAGAACTGAATATGTCTGATCTCTGAGACTTAGTTCTGATAATAGCTAGTTTATTGGAAGCTCATTTTCCAGATTTGGGGCAAATATATGGCTGTCCCCCAAGTGAAGTTTGCTATGGGCTATGAGATGTGATTTCTGTGAGAAACGTTTCCCGCACTCCGAGCAGAAATATGGCCTCTCTCCCGTGTGAACTCTCTCATGTTTGATAAGAGAAGACCGCTGAGAAAACCGTTTGCTGCAACCTGAACACGGATATGGCTTTTCCCCGGTATGAATCCTTTCGTGTACGATGACGGCCGATTTGTGGGAAAAACATTTCCCGCACTCGGAACAGGCATAAGGCTTCTTTCCCGTGTGGACCGTTTCATGTCTGATCAGAGCCGATCTCTGTGAAAAAGACCTCCCGCACAGGGAACAGGAATAAGGTCTCTCTCCCGTGTGAAACCCTTTCATGGGTGACAAGATCCAGTCTCTGGTTGAAGCTCTTCCCGCACTCTGCACAGGCATAGCGCTTCTCCCCAGTGTGAAGCCTTTTATGGGCACTAAGGGACGATGTGTGGTTGAAACACTTCCCGCAACTAGAGCAGGAGAATGGTTTTTCCCCCGTGTGGATTCGGTTGTGTGCAACGAGAGAAGATTTTTGAGGAAAACACTTTCCGCACTCTGAACAGACATGCGGCTTCTTTTGTTTATGAACACGTCTGTGGAGGGCAAGAGCCGTGTCACTGGAGAAACATTTCCCACACTCAAAACAAAGATTAGACGTCTCCTGGCCGTGAACCTTTGCATGTGCGATAAAATCCGACTTCTGCAAGAAATTTTTCCCGCACACTGAGCAGGGATAGGGCTTCTCCCCGCAGTGAACTTTTTCATGGGCGGTCAGGCTTGATTTGTGGAAGAAACGTTTCCCACACATGGAACAGGCATAGGGCTTCTCCCCGCAGTGAACTCTTCTGTGGCTGATGAGATACGACTTGTCGGAGAATTGCTTGCCGCATTCCGAGCACGAGTAGGGCTTCTCCCCCGTGTGAATCCGTTTATGTACAGCGAGGGTCCATTTTTGTAGAAAACCTTTCCCGCACACTGAGCAGGGATACGGCCTTTCCCCCGTGTGGCCTTTTTCGTGTATGTTCAGAGATGCCACGTTAAAGAAGCATTTGCCGCACTTGAAACACGCATAGGACTTCTCCTGTGCATGAAGCCTTTCATGTAAAAGGAGGGACGACTTGTAGAAACAACATTTCCCGCACTTGGAACAGGAATACCGTTTTGACCCCGTGTGAATCCTTCCATGCTTGTCGAGGGATGACTTCTGGGAGAAACGTTTCCCGCACACCAAGCAGGTATAGGGCTTCACCCCCGTGTGAGTCCTTTCATGTACAATGAGGGCCCATTTATTTAGAAAACGTTTCCCGCACTCTGAGCAGGAGAAGGGCTTCTCCCCCGTGTGGACCCTCTTGTGTAAGATCAGGGTTGACTTGTAGGGAAAACTTTTCCCGCACTCTGAACACGAATACAGGTTTGCGGCGTGACCTCTTTCATGTTCGACGAGAGAGACCTTTTGTATAAATAACGTTTCCCACACTTAGAACAGGAATACGGCTTCTCCCCCGTGTGGACCCTTCCGTGTCTGGTGAGAGCCGCTTCCTGGGAGAAACACTTACCGCACTCTGAACACGCATGCGACTTCTTACCGCATTCAGAACAGGAGTTCGGGTTCTTCCCACATTCAGGACAGGAGTGTGACTTTTTTATGGCGTGAACTCTTCTGTGGAGGACGAGATAGGAGTTTTGAGAAAAACATTTCCCGCACTCGGGGCAGGAATAGGGCTTCTCCGCCGCGTGGACCCTATTGTGTTTGAGGAGAGACGACTTCTTGGAGAAACATTTCCCGCACTCGGGACAGGAATAGGGCTTCCCCACCGCGTGGATTCTCTCATGTGTGAGGACATCTGATTGGTGAGGAAAAGCATTTGCTACATTTGGAACATGAATACGGCCCTTCCCCCGCCTTAGTGTTCATTGAGACGAGCTCTGCAGGGGAACCTTCAACCCAATTGGCCAAAGGGAGAGTCTCACCTCCTCCACCGGTGGGATGGGTGGTAGGGGGGGTGTGATTGGGGAAATAGTCCCCGTGTGTGGAGGGATCACATGAGAGATCTTCATGGAGACATCTCAGATTGAGGTTTGGTGGGATGGGATCTTCTAAAGGATCACAGGGGTGGTCATCACTCCTCATTCCTGCATCTGAAGAGGCAACGGAAGGTTCCTCGGTGTCATTCTTCATATGTTGTCCATCTGGGGGATACAGAACATGAAGAGGATCACAAAGTCTACTATTCTATTAGGGTCGGGGGCCCCAAACTGCGGCCCTTTGCTTGCCTTTATCAGGCCCTTGGGGCACTATTCCTCCCACTGACACCAGTGATGGGGCACTTTTCCTCCCACTGACACCAATGATGGGGCACTATTCCTCCCACTGACACCAATGATGGGGCACTATTCCTCCCCCTGACACCAATGATGGGGCACTATTCCTCCCCCCCCTGACACCAATGATGGGGCACTATTCCTCCCACTGACACCAATGATGGGGCACTATTCCTCCCACTGACACCAATGATGGGGCACTATTCCTCCCACTGACACCAATGATGGGGCACTATTCCTCCCACTGACACCAATGATGGGGCACTATTCCTCCCACTGACACCAATGATGGGGCACTATTCCTTCCACTGACACCAATGATGGGGCACTATTCCTTCCACTGACACCAATGATGGGGCACTATTCCTCCCACTGACACCAATGATGGGGCACTATTCCTCCCACTGACACCAATGAGGGACACTATTCCTCCCACTGACCACTGGGGCACTACCAATGATACCAATGATGGGGCACTATTCCTCCCACTGATACCAATGATGGGGCACTATTCCTCCCACTGACACCAATGATGGGGCACTATTCCTCCCACTGACACCAATGATGGGGCACTATTCCTCCCACTGACACCAATGATGGGGCACTATTCCTCCCACTGACACCAATGATGGGGCGCTATTCCTCCTACTGACACCAATGATGGGGCACTATTCCTCCCACTGATACCAATGATGGGGCACTATTCCTCCCACTGACACCAATGATGGGGCGCTATTCCTCCCACTGACACCAATGATGATGGGGCGCTATTCCTCCCACTGACACCAATGATGGGGCGCTATTCCTCCCACTAATACCAATGATGATGGGGCGCTATTCCTCCCACTGACACCAATGACGGGGCGCTATTCCTCCCACTGACACCAACGACGGGGCGCTATTCCTCCCACTGACACCAACGACGGGGCACTATTCCTCCCACTGACACCAACGACGGGGCACTATTCCTCCCACTGACACCAACGACGGGGCACTATTCCTCCCACTGACACAAACGACGGGGCACTATTCCTCCCACTGACACCAACGACGGGGCACTATTCCTCCCACTGACACCAACGACGGGGCACTATTCCTCCCACTGACACCAACGACGGGGCACTATTCCTCCCACTGACACCAATGATGGGGCACTATTCCTCCCACTGACACCAACGACGGGGCACTATTCCTCCCACTGACACCAACGACGGACACTATTCCTCACACTGACACCAACGACGGGGCACTATTCCTCCCACTGACACCAATGACGGGGCACTATTCCTCCCACTGACACCAATGACGGGGCACTATTCCTCCCACTGACACCAGCGATGGGACACTATTCCTTTCACTGACACCAGCGATGTGTGGTGCTATTCCTCCCACTGACACCAGCGATGGGGCGCTATTTCTCCCACTGACACCAGGACATGAGACACTATTTCTCCCACTGACACCAGCGATGGGGCGCTATTTCTCCCACTGACACCAGCGATGGGGTGCTATTCCTTCTATTGACACCAGCGATGGGGCGCTATTCCTTCCACTGACACCAACGACGGGGCACTATTCCTCCCACTGACACCAGCGATGGGACACTATTCCTTTCACTGACACCAGCGATGGGACACTATTCCTTTCACTGACACCAGCGATGGGACACACTATTCCTTTCACTGACACCAGCGATGGGACACTATTCCTTTCACTGACACCAGCGATGGGGTGCTATTCCTTCTATTGACACCAGCGATGGGGCGCTATTCCTCTTCCACTGACACCAGCGATGGGGCGCTATTCCTCCCACTGATCGCTAGTGCGAATGTATTCTTATCCACCTTTCTGATCTAAATTGCCCACCCCACACCGGAGTAGGTCGGCTACAACCGGCTTTAATATTCAATTCCTCCATCCAAAATATTTCTTAATACAGCTTGCTCAGTGAGCCCTCAAAAACATATGAAAGGCCATCTTGTGACTCGAAATGCTCAGGACATATAAAGACCTATGAGGGCCCAGTACACCGGCGTGGCCAGGTCCAAGAATGGAAACATTGGAGCAGACCATGGTTGTTTGTACACAATGTACATTTCTCAAATGAATGTAATTACTTGCTGCCCCCAATCCCTATGGTAATGTTACTCAGCACTTGCAGAGGTAAGGTTCAGGCAGAACCCAGTTACATGAAATTAGGCCACCGGCCCAACCAGTTGTGGCCGGAAATTTCCCATCTGGAAGCTACCAAGAGGACTGTATGCTGGTGACATCATCAACTTCATTCATAATGACCACTTGGCCATATTTGGTCAATGACAGTATCCAAACCTGACCACTTGGCCAAATTTAGTCAATGACCGTGTCCAAACCTGACCACTTGGCCAAATTTAGTCAATGACCGTGTCCAGACCTGACCACTTGGCCAAATTTAGTCAATGACCGTGCCCCAACCTGACCACTTGGCCAAATTTAGTCAATGACCGTGCCCCAACCTGACCACTTGGCCAAATTTAGTCAATGACCGTGCCCCAACCTGACCACTTGGCCAAATTTAGTCAATGACCGTGTCCAAACCTGACCACTTGGCCAAATTTAGTCAATGACCGTGTCCCAACCTGACCACTTGGCGATATTTAGTCAATGACCGTGTCCCAACCTGACCACTTGGCGATATTTAGTCAATGACCGTGTCCCCAACCTGACCACTTGGCCAAATTTAGTCAATGACCGTGTCCCAACCTGACCACTTGGCCATATTTAGTCAATGACCGTGTCCAAACCTGACCACTTGGCCAAATTTAGTCAATGACCGTGTCCAAACCTGACCACTTGGCCATATTTGGTCACTGACAGTATCCAATCCTGACCACTTGGCCATATTTGGTCAATGACAGTGTCCAAACCTGACCACGGGGTCATATTAGGTCAATGTAGTCACCGGTATCTCAATCCAGGGGCGTATTTGCCGTGAGGCCAACAAGGCATTCGTCTTGTATGTTCACTGCTAGCTGCCAGCCCCCCACTGTATGACCACCACTGTCTCTATTGGTTTTATCTTGGTTCAATAAAGTGGATTGTTTGGAGTGCAGGCGATCGGATGTCCTTAGTTCTCAAGGCATTTGCCTTGGGCGGCATCTTTCAGGGGGGCGGCGGCGCCTACCGGAAGAAGGGACGATGGTTCTCCTGCAGACTGGATGGTGAGTCTCTCTCTTTCTCTGGGGGAGGGGGTTGCGGTGGTGTACAGAGGTCGCAGGTGGAAGGGACTGGTGGACGGTGGTCAGGCTGAGGCTGGTGCCCGGGGTGTGATCCCTCTCCTCCAATGTGATGAGGCTGCTGGTTGGTGCCTCGCCCTAGCCCCTCCTGGAGGTGCACCGATCATTGGTATGAGGCAGACTCCTGAAGACACCGGGACTGGTGCAGGAAGCCGGGGGGGCGAAGAGGAACAATCCGGGATACATGTACACCCCAGGGCAGCACCTTCCCCGTCCGGGGGGAAAAAATCAGGGGACCACCACGGGAGGAGAGCCACTGTCCAGAGGAGTCTGCCCGATCTCCAGGGTGGGGGAATACTGGCTCCCGGAGATTCCTTCCACCCGTACATGGCCATGGACAGCCCACTGCACCCGCTGCCTCCATTGGTTTGGAGTCCCCAGGAGAGTGGGGGGGCTGCAGATTTTTTGCGTTGCCTAGGGCAACACAAAATCCGAATACACTCCTGTCTCCACCCCCTTATCACGTGTGGCTGAAGTGAATTTCCCAGCTGCAGCGGATCGGATATTTTATTAAACATCTTTCCATTAATAGCCCCCAGCTGACAACATGGAAGGTCTCAAACCGCCACTAATGGCTAAAAAAACCCAACAATCAAAACGGTTCCTGATCATGTGACTGCTGCATCCATTATGACACTGCGGTCACATTCAGGCTTCAATATGAAATGAAGACAGATGACATCAGCCGACACTGCAGCAGTCTGAAGGGGTAAAGTGTTTGTTTAATACTGCAATTGTCAGATACAATTACAGTATTTTCCAGCCCAAGCCTTTCCTGGCACCTTTTGTGTAACAATCAGTTTTTTTTTTTGGCTAGAAAATGACTTGGAACCCCCAAACATTATACACTCAGCCGCCTCTTTATGACGTCCACCTGTTCAATGGCTTGGTAAAACAAATTGCTAATCAGCCAATCACATGAGAGCAACTCAATGCATTTAGGCATCTAGACGTGGTGAAGACGACTTGCTGAACTTCAAACCGAGCATCAGAATGGGGAAGAAAGGGGATTTAAGTGACTTTGAACGTGGCATGGTTGTTGGTGCCAGACGGGCTGGTCTGAGTATTTCAGAAACTGCTGATCTCCTGGGATTTTCACATACAACCATCTCTAGGGTTTACAGAGAATGGTCCGAAAAAGAGAAAAATATCCCGTGAGTGGCAGTTGTGTGGAGGAAAACGCCTTGTTGAGGTTCACACACAAACCATCTCTAGGGAAGTCTCGAGACTCAGACCAGGCAACGTCTCTCCAATCTTCTATTGTCCAATGTTGGAAGATGCTGTGTGAATTGTAGC